TTTTTTTTTTTTTTTTTTGCATTTGTATATCCCAAGGATGGAGAGCTTCAAACTTTCAAAACACTGGTCCACAGTGAGTTCACCTGGGTGAACAGCAGCTCAAAGAATACGTGACTGCTTTGTTCATGGGAAACTTCAAAAATGTGACCCAGCCACTGAAACAGTATGAGCAGCGACTTCCACACTTTTCTACTGAGAGCTCTGTCTTTGGTTCTCATCATACATGATTCCCATCAGAATTTAACCAACCAACGAACCAACAAAAAAAAACTCTGGCTTTGATTTGGGGGGAAAAACAGACACTCAGAATAACAAGAAAACTTTGACATCTGCACTTTTCCCAGCATTCAAAGTGAAGTAGGGCAATTGTGCAGCTCCACCTAAGCATCTTGTGGGCACATCTAGAGTCTCAGAGTAAATTTCTAAAATGTAAACCACTCACTCACGTACGAAAACGTCCACGATTCCCAAGGGGAAAGAAACAGCAAGTTTGAAAAGAAAAGCAGAATGCTGGTTTGCATTTTAGATAAGGCCAGAGGCCCTGACAAGCTCATTGAACCCCGGAGGGTGGCTGGAATAGGACCCATCATCCAGCCTACGAAGCCCTCCAGGCCAGGAGACTGGCTGCAAGGGCTATCCAAGGAGACAGGACCTTTCAGAATGGAGTGAGGGAGGGCACTGGCAGAAGGGCCCGGCATTTGTTCTCCTTTGCAAAGGGGGGACCAAATTAGAGCTGGCAGAACAAAGTGTGCAATGTGGGAGAGGAAAGCATACGCAACCGAAGGACCAGATAAAACAAGAGAAGTGGGCAATGTCGAGAGAGTCCAGGACTTAGGGACAAGGTAGAGGTGCAAGTGTGTGACCACTCACTATGGGGCAGGCGCCACTGACCCCAAGCCTTTACCATAGCATGGGGAGCCCGTGTGCAAATTTATTTAGGGAGTCCAGGGGGCCTTATTGAGCTGTTTTCTTAACCTCCATCAAATAATCTTCTACTTCTACTGGCTTTATTAGTGTCCTTTGATTTAGGGGTTGTTGTTGTAGTAGGAGCCCTGGTAGAGAAGTGGTTAAGCATTCAGCTGCTAACTGAAAGGTTGGCGGTTCGAACCCACCAGCCTCTCCACAGGAGAAAGATGTGACAGTCTGCTTCAGTAAAGATTACAGGCTTGGAAACCCTATGGGGCAATTCTACTCTGCCGTATAGGATCGCTATGAGTCGGAATCAACTAGACAGCAATGGGTTTTTTGGTTTCTTTGTTGTTATTAGGTGCCGTTGAGTTGATTCCAACTCAAAGTGACCTTTGGTATAACAGAAAGAAACACTGCCTGGTCCTGCACCATCCTCTTAATCGTTGCTATGTTTGAGCCCATTGTTGCAACCACTGTGTCAATCCATGATTTAGGGGAATTACTCCTGAATATCAGTTTTGGCAACCTCATCAACATCCTACTCAACGTCAGCATTCCCTCGTATTATCTCAAGAATTATATTCTTGGGAAAACACTGTTCTCCTTTGCCAACTTTCTACTGAAGACTCGGTTGTTTCATGGCTGCAGGCATAAATGGAACTTTGAGCCCTTTGCCATTTCTTTACATCCAGGTTCCCTTGGTGATACGCCCTTGAGAATACTGAGGGAGGAGGATGCCAGACGATTATTCTTTTGTTACTTGTTTTATTGATTGTACAGAGCTGTCTGCTCCCTGTTAATGATGAATTTATTTGTGAAGTAAAATAGCTTTTATTTTTACCTCTCAAAATAGATCAGCATTATGAAATTAAACTGATTTATACTTAGATGTGATCATGATTGATTTTTCTCTCCCTCTCTGGACTAAACCAAAACCCGTATCGACCCTATAGGACAGAGTAGAACTGTCTCATAGAATTTCCAAGGAGCTGCTGGTGGATTCGAACTGCCGACATTTTGGTTAGCAGCTGAGCTCTTCACCACTGCACCACCAGGGCTCCTCTTTGGACTTGTTGTTATTGTTAGGTGCCTTCAAGTTGGTTCCAACTCATAGTGACCCTACGGGGCAGTGAACTGCCCCGTAGGGTTTCCAAGGAGCAGCTGGTGGATTTGAAGTGCCAACATTTTGGTTAGCAGCCGAGCTCCTAACCACTACGCCACCAGGGCTCCGCTGCCTGGACTAGTGGCCCTTAATAGAAAAAAAGGCTCCTCCAGCCCCAGACTACAGTGTATACATTCCAGCCATGCTGGGTATGAACAGGACAAGTGCCAGGCACTGAGCATCTGGACACAATTTGAGCATTTAGTAAATACTGTGCATGAGAATATAGAAAAGCTTATGTAAATACCTCATTCTTAGCAATCCTAGGTGTATT